GTCTGCACTTGTTTCTTCTGTGGCATTTTTAGGCCCTGTTCTTAGCGGTAACCACTAAGCAATTTGAGAAGATCCACTTGTCCAAAAATTGACGTTCCACTAATAATCGGTTTTTCAGAGAGGGACACCATCAAACACAGCCACTCCATAGCTTGCAATCTAGCACCTGCCGCAGCAGTTTTTCTGTAGGACTGAGAGGAGAAGCAGGATGATTGGAGATGGACAACACAGGAAAATATGGCCCTTATAGACTAGCATCAGCTGCACTCCGCCTGGACCGGGTTGGGAGTGTTTTTATTTAGGTAGCCTTGAATTTTCCTGAGCACAACCGGACGTCTTTTCAACAATCTTCACAAAGGAGGTCTGCCAGTAGCCGAACAGGGCTGACACACCCACTGCTGACTGATTAGCTGGCTCAAAATCACGCATACCATTAGGAGGAGCCTCCTATTGTCAGATAGAATCGGCCTGTGATGCTTCCCGCATGCACAATTCATTATCATTCTGGGCGCTGTGGAGTTTATGGCTCTTACTGAAGCCGTTTTTCTCTGTCCCTTAGTGATGGGAATTCCGGCTCTTTTTAGAGAGCCGGTTCTTTTGGCTCAGCTCACCAAAAAGAGCCGACTCTTTCGGCTCCCAAGTGGCTCCTTAGATTTTCTGTTGCATAAAGTATATTTATCACCAAAAATAATGCAAAACTATATGTAAAATGATTTATTAATGTAAAAAAATGCAATATATCAAATATTTATCATTTATATGGATTTATTAACTGAACACTTTAAGAAATCTCAACTTAAGGAGTTACAAAAATAAGTGCAAAAGAAGGCTATAAAAAAGCCAGCCCATCCAGGACTCTGCGTTTTAACAAACCCAAACAAAACAGAATATTCACTGGTTGCACATGTGCAACAACTATTTAAATTAAAGCAACCTGAACAAACTCACAGAATGACAACAAAATCTTTAGTGAAGATTAGCATTCAGAAACACCAAATGCCTCAGCTTTGAGGGGCTAATCTTGTTTCTTCTTTCTGTTATTATCTGCCCTGCTTTGGAGAAGATTCTCTCTGAGGGTACAGATGTTGCTACAATACACAGTCTCCGTGCCATAACATGTGTAAGACGTGGGTAGCCTAGACCCTTGGTCTCCCACCAGCTCAGTGGGTCTGCACCTCTCTGGAAAAGGGGCTGCTCCAGATATGACCTCACTTCGAGTATTGCATCTGCTGAGGGATTCCTTCTTGTAGTGTCTCCAGTTGCCCGTTCTTCAAAGAACCTCCAAACAGTAGATGCTTGTGGCTCCTCTTGTTCATGTTCTGCTGCCTCTTCTCCCTCTTGGTCCCCTTGCAGTCCAGTTGACTGACTAGCTCTTGCTGCTGCTGCGGTTATTCTCTGAAGAGCTTCATCCACTGCTCTATTGTCATTGAAAGCCAGCTTTTTGAATCTTGGGTCAAGAATTGTTGTTTCTGACAGGACAGTGTTATATTCCATTCTGTGGAATGTTCTGTCCATGGATCCGCACAGAGTATCCACTAACTCTTTCACATTCCCTGTGGTTACTCTGGTCTGGTGCTCAGCTGTCACTCTCTGCAGACCCTTGCACAGGATCAACATTTTGGAGGCTGTAACATAGCTGGAATAACAAATAAGTGTTAAAATTATCCTTTCATTTATTTATCAGTATCATTCTAACTTAACAACTAATTAAATAAATAATGTGATAATATTTATACACTGTACCTGTCTGCACTGATCTCCACAGTGACCTGCTCAAATGGCTCCAGAACAGTTCATGCTTCCTGCAGTACGTCCCATTCCTCTTGGCTCAGTTGATTGACAGGTGCATTGATGACAGCCAGGGTTGAGATCACTGCATCCTTGGACTCCAGGATCCGTTTCAGCATGTAAACCGTGGAGTTCCACCGAGTAACACAGTCTTGTTTGAGTTTCAGCTCAGGCATGCCCATCTGCCGTTGAGTTGACTTGAGCTTCTCTGTGGCTGTGGTACTCCTGTGGAAGAATTCCACTATTGCCTTTACTTTGTCCACAGTCGGCTTCATCAACTTCAGAGCACCTCTAACGAACAGGTTGATAGTGTGTGCAAGGCACGGGTGGTGGGTCCATTTCAGGATTTGAATTGCTTTAGTTATATTAGCTGCATTGTCACTAACACAGCAAACCACTTTGTTTTCCACACCCCACTCTTTTGCCACTTTGAGCAGCTCTTCTGCTAAGTTCTCAGAAGTGTGTCTGGCACTGAACTCAAAACAATCCAGCAGACATGACACCATTTTGTAATTTTCAACAAAATGGCATGTGACTGACATATATGATGTAGTGGTTCGAGATGTCCAGCAGTCAGTTGTTAAACAAACAGCTGTGGAATTGTTTACCCTTTCTTGGAGTAAAGCACGTTCTCTATCATATAGGCCTGGGATGATTTTTTGAGAAAGTGTTATTCTACTTGGAACTGCATACATTGGATTGAGAGCATGGGTGTAGCTTCTGAATCCTCTGTCATCCACTATTGAGAATGGCTGAAAATCCCGTGCAACCATTTTTCCAAGTTCCTCATCAATTGCATTCTGTCTGGCTGGGGTCATAGCCTTTTGCAGAAACTGGCTCATAGAGCTCTGGGTAGGTCGAGGTGGTTGTGGTGGTGCATTGCAAGATGCTGTATACACTGCAGCAGCAACAGTTGCAGTAGACACACTGGCACCTTCATTTGCAGGTTGCCTTGCTTGTCTTATTTCTTCTAACAGCACAGATGGATGAACAGTTTTCATGTGCCTGTGCAGGTTATTTGTGGAGCCTGCTCTATATGATATCTTCACCCTGCACACATTACACTCGGCCCTTGAGCTGTTTATAATACTGAAATGGGTCCAAATTTGGCTCCGTTTTCGACTGCTGTCGCTCATTTTCTCACCGTAGCCGCACTGTCCTCTCTCTCGCTCGTCTTTTTCCTCCTCCTCCTCCTTCTGCTCAGTCCCTCCTCCTCCTCCTTCTGCTCAGTCCCTCTCATCTCCCTCCGCCCCGCTCCGCCCGCATGTGCTCTGCTGTGTGTCTGTCTGATCCTCCCTCTTCCCCGCCCCTACTGCTCTGTGTGTGGACAGTCTGGACACGCAGTTACACATGTTGACCAATCGCCTGTAGATTTCGCTTAGGCGGGGGTGGGGTGGGGATGTGACCGCGCGTGCGCGGGGTGGAGTGGGGTAGGGGTGTGGGGGTGGGGGGGATGTGGTGGACGGGACGGGACGGCTCCCAATGACGAGCCGGCTCCCGTCGGTCACTTCATAGAGCCGGCTCTTAGAACCGGTTCGTTCGCGAACGACACATCACTACTGTCCCTCACTGCTGTGAGGAGCGTGCGCGCGCACACACACACACACACACTCAGTGCTGCCAGACACAGCAAAGCAGGATGCAGCCTCAGTCTCCAAAAGCAAGAGTGCTCAGGCAGATTTTGTTTAATAATGGAGACACCGCGGACCTCTCTGCACTCTTTTTCCCTGACCAAATGCTCGGAGATGCGCTTATGACATCACAAACCACAGACCGCCCATGTACTCAATCACGTCCGCATTCCCAGGGCGGAGTGGCACTGAGCTGATGCTAGTGTGTAAGTGGCATTAGTCAAATAAGATCAAGAAAACAAAACAAAGGGCTTGAAAAGGAAAATGTCGGTAGATTTATCCATCTACACATTTTAACTTTATAAAGCAATAATATATAAGCGTGTAATATTTATATATTCGATTCAATTCAAATAACCTTCAAATCTCCGTCCCACCCAGGGCCGTATATCAAGGCGTTTTGGTGGCCTAAGCAAAATATTTAGTTTAGTTTTTTCATCACATTTAGTTTGCACATTATTTAAAATATCTTCAACTTAATCTATTTTTAAGCCAATTTTTGGGGGGTATTGCTTGAAAAAAGAATCCTAACACAGCATAACAATTACTTGAAAGGTTCTGTACTGTTTTAAATACATTTTGACTGGGAAATGCTCTTTAAATGCATTATATACCTTTTAGAAGTATTATGGCAAAATTACAAAACACTAAAAAGTTTTAAACGTCCACACCCTCAAGCTTGGCAAGTATGGCTCCAACACAGGGATGAAGAAACCGAAACGGTGCAGGTAAGAGAGAAAAATGAAAGTCATTTCATGTATAAAATGGACGCATGGCTGAATTTTCAGTCTTACTGAAATAGATTAAAATGTTTTGTCCAACATTTGGAGACGTTCCATAAAGTTTATGAACGTGATGTCATCACATGCAGCTCGTTTACCAGCTGAGAGTCTAAAAAGACCACAACTTCTGCAGTTGGAGTGTATTCTGATGAGGTCATTTGTGCAAACAGAAGACAGCGAAACACGCAGGTCGCGTCAGCACAGGAGCTAATCGGAGCTGAAGTAGTAGCCTTCTGTTTGGAGCTTGTTATTAAAAGAGACAACACACACTTTTCTGGTGGAAACATGCTGCCAGTCTTGCCCAGGTGTCGCAACTAGCCCCAAAGTACCCCTGTGCCTGAGACACACAGGTTCTAAGCACTGAGGCAAAGCTGTTGGTCCACAAAGTCCTAGGGTGAAGCCTGAAAGGGTAAACATGCTGGGTTTCAGGTGAGAAATCCTTTTATGAGCTGCGTGTTTTTAAGTTGTTGATATTATTTGTGTTGTGTTGTTATTGTTTTAGTAATAGTGTTGAGTTTCTGATCGGTGGAGGTTCAAGCCAATAGTTTGTAGATGTCTCCATCCGTCTAAACTTGATATCATACCAGTGGGTGGGTGTAGGATTCAGTCGAGCTTGGTTTGGCTTGGGACAGAAGCCTGGTGAAACCCACGCAGGGACGGAAAAAGGGACTAAAGAGGACAGACCGTCTGGTTCCATAGACATCCACAACTTCAAAACAAGCTAGCTTTGTGCCAGCTTTGAATGAGTTTAAGGTAAACTTTAAAGGTGGGTACCTTCACCAGCTGTTTTTCCTCCCAGGGGCTCCGTCACCAGTGCAGTACCAGCATGGTGCTCCAGCCATGTTCCAGGGACAGAGTGGCAGTCCACCACCCACCGGCCTCCCTCGAGTTGCTCTGTCAGCCAATCAGCAACCATCATCTGTCCGCCCCGCTGTCCCATTAGCACCAGGTGTACCTCAGCCACAGCAGGTGAGCTCCAGCAGCCCCTGAAGATGGTTGGCTGTGTTTGTGGGACTCAACTCTGTCGGGTGTGCAGGTGACCATCCAGGTGCAGGAGGTGCAGCTGGGAGGTGGGGCGCAAAGACAAGGCAGCTTCCTGTCCACACCAGGGGGACACAGGGTCCTGGGGAAGCAGCTCAGCGCAGACAACGCAGAAACGCACAGGTGACCTCCTCCAGCCGCTGGTGGCAGCCGGCCGTGCTGACAGACTGCAGCACCATCACTCTGCCTTAGAGACTCTTGTTTTAGCACCGACACGTTCTTAATGTTTGATCCTCTTTTGTTTTCTACTGCTTTGTTTGTGATGCTCGTTCTGGATGAAACGGGATGTAGCTCAGGGCTTACACTGGGGGGTGGGGGGTGCAGGTGTGAGATGAGCTCATTGTTTGTTATAAACTAAGGTTCGCTGCTGCTGAGATGACGTCGCCCCACCGTGTCTGGGTGAGTTCATGAGGTGGATTAGATACGCCCCCGTAGCCAGGAGCGTCTTCACTGAGAGATGGTGTAAGCCTTCAGGCCCGACTCCACCTCTCAGGGAACACCTGTCTTGTGTTCAGACTCAGGTGTTGGCTAGGCTGTGTGTAGCTTTTCTGTAGGTTTGGTCTGTCTGTAGGACTGGGATGTGGTGGTTTCCAGCAGCTAACTGGTGTTTCCTCCTCCCTGTTCAGTCGCAGCCTTGGCCGATTCACACCCGGCTACGACCAGACGCAGTTCAACCCCCACCTGTTCTCTGGTGACACCACCTCCAGGGGTGCCTCTGGAGTGGTGGGTTCCTACAACCCCTACCTGCAGGGCTCCTCCCTCAAGGTACCTGGTATAGAGGGTTACCAGGGGGGGGGTGTGGGGAGCAGTAGCTACGGGGCCCCCTCTACATTACAGCAGGCCTTGCTCTCCCCAACTCCTTTGGACTACCGCCCCCCTCAGCAGCACGTCACCCCTACCCTGCAGGGCCTCCTGTCCCCCCGCCACTCTTTAACAGGCCACACCGACCCCCGCTTGAACCCACAGGACTTGGCCGCCCTCCTGAAGAGACAGAATCCCCGGCCATGTGCAGTGCCCCAAACATCCCCCAGCGGAGTACCACAGGACTTTGGAGAGATGCTACTTCTTCGCCAGCTCAGCCCAGGAGACACCCTGGAGCCACCTGTGCCCCAGGCTGCTCCTGGGCTGCAACACTACCACCACCTCCTCCAGATCCGAACCTCCGAGGTTCCCCAACAGCAGCAGCACCCGCCTCAGGCGCCTTGTCCCAGCTTACCTCACTCAGAGAGCATGGAGGAGGACGAGGTGCCGGCTGAGTACCTTCACCCACATGAGGGGCTGCTGGCCAAGGCCGGAGACGGACATGAGCTCCTGGGGCCCCCCCGAGGAGGAACTCCCCCATACAGCTCTCCCACTCACAGACATGCTGGCTACATCAGGAGCCCGTCAGCAACTAGAGGTAAGGCCTCTCCACATGTCTAATCATTTAGGTTTCCGTGACTTCTCATGAACCAGATCTCTTCCTCCAGAACCGGAGCATGTAGAGTGCCGGTCCCAAGGACAAGCCATGGAAGTGCCTGATCACAATGGTGTTGGCTATCCGCGCGGTCCCCAGGGAGACACCTACAGGTCCAGAGGGCAGCTACAACGCCACCACACCATCCAGACCTGTGACGATGCCTACGTGAGTCAAAATCTCTCATGGATGCTGGTAGCTGGTCCGGTCCAGAGTAACCGTGGTTGTTTTCATGAGACACACCGTGCCAGCAGGTCAGAGTAATACCGCTGCTACAGTGTGTCTCATGAAAGCGCGGCGGCGGCATGGCAATGCAGGAATTCTGTGGCTTTCTTGCTGCAAAGCTTGCTAATAATATTGCTGCAACACCTGACTTGTGAATGAAGATTAGAAGAAGAAGAAAATATCATTTCTATAGCGCCTCTCAAGATAAAAATCACGAGGCGCTTAGGCATCCACGAGGAAGATTAGGCCTTGGCGCACCAGAGGGAGGTTTTATCATATGTAGAACGTCCGCCGAGCTCCGGTCGGCAACTATATTGGAAATTAAAGTTAACACAGGTGGTTGGTAGACTGGAGCGACGCAGAGCTCCGGGAGCTTGGATTACCAGACAGTTCACGGGGACTGTGGGGGACAGACATCTTTAGATGCTCGGCTTGTGAAAATACTTGAGGAGCGCAGCTTTGGTTGCAGTAAAAAGCAAGTTATGTTCAAGTTAAAGAGAAGTCTGTGACGGCGCAGACCGCCGCCCCATGCCTCCTTTTTACCGCCATCGTGTGATCTTTTGTGATTGTGCCTCATTACCGCCACAGTCTCACCACCTATAAATGACTGAAGGCTCCCTGATGCCGCCGCACCTTTGTGGCAACTCGGTGGCATTGTTTAATGAAAGAGGCTAGTGGGACTGTGTGCCTGCATTTGCAGGCTGCGGTCATGGCTTGGTGAATACTAGACCTAATAAAATCATAATCGCGTTTCCTGCTCAGGATCAGGCAGAGCCCATGTCTGGAATGAGTCTCCTGGCTGGAAAGGCGCTCAGCTCTGCTCGCATGTCGGACATCCTGAGCCAAACGTCGCTGACAGGAAGTCAGCAGCTGCACCAGCGGGAAGCGTCAGGTCGGTAAACGGCGTTGTCAGAGATTTGAGTATTTATTTTGTTGATCGGCGCCAGTATAAGATGTGTTTGTCATGCAGTGTGTGACGCTGAGGGTGAGCTCCACGCAGCAGGCTGCTACCCCTCGTCCTGCACCAGTGATATGCTCCTGACCTTCAAACCCCCCGACCTGCAGTACAGCATGGAGCAGGCTGGGGTCTAACACAGGTACACACACCTGGGCTCTGGGGTCATGCTCAGTTGGACTAAAGTGTTCCTGCAGGGTCTTCAAAAGTCTTAAAAGCATTGAATTAATTTAGAAATAATACCGTAAGTCTTTTACAAGTTTTGAATTTTGACAACTGGGTCTTAAAATGTGTTCTGTAGGTAAATTCTCGTATTTGTCCTCTAAAGTTTCACTTGTCGACCACAATCATGTTTATTAAAGAAGGTAGCATAAATAAAGAGTGGAGGAACTGAGAACGCAGCGCAGCCGTGGGTCAGATACTCCAAACGCCACGTATTCAGCTCCCACGCTACAGCAGCCTACCAAACCGCTAACGGACCTCCAGCCGAGGAGAAACGTGGAACATCTCAGCAGACCATGAGAGAGGCTGACTGGTGCCTAGGGCTGGGTGCCAGAACTGTGGACCTTTTGGGGACTGAGTGAAAACATTCGTTAACCAGAACCAACTTTATTGTCAACGCACCGGCGTCCTGAAGCATAGAAAACTGTAGCTTTTAAAGTAGATTTTCCAGAGTTTCCTTCCTTTTTTTTGGTCATCGAAGGATCATCACCTAGCAGCGCCTACACCACGCTCAGGTCAATCCAGACTCTCTTCATGTCGAGAGTCTGGATTGTCTAACCCTAACCCTTCCACAGATGTGGAGCGATCTACCAAGCACTACCAGAACAGCCCCCCCACTGTCCACTCCATGTTCACGTCCCTCTATGATGGATCATGCTGCTTCACTTCCACCTAGGATTGGCTGATTAGTGCAGTTAGCCTCGAGGAGAGGCGGCTGGCTTCATTGTCACCTGTAAGTCCACTTTGGACAAACGCGTCTGCTAAATGCATAAACACAAGTTCAAGGATACTTTTTATTTGCCGTTAGGGCTGTGAAATGGTTATAAATTTTTTACATTATTGGTTTTAAAAAGGTCTTAAAAAATCTTGAATTCAAAGACCAAATTGCTGGTAAAATTTTTTCTAATTCATTTAAAATTCGGTCCAAAAATACTATTAGAAACGCTTATTGTGGCCTCCAGGAAACGAGTGTGTGCAGCTTTTAAAAATACCAACTCGAGCTGGGTCGGATCCAGCTCACAGAAGCCCGCATGAGCTCCAGAACCGGATGACAGGTGTCTCTCCCTCTCTCTAAGCTAAACTTCGTCTTCGTCTTCGTCTTCGTCTTCCTCCGCTTATCCGGGTCCGGGTCGCGGGGGCAGCATCCCAATTAGGGAGCTCCAGGCCGTCCTCTCCCCGGCCTTGTCCACCAGCTCCTCCGGCAGGACCCCAAGGCGTTCCAGGACCAGATTGGAGATGTAACCTCTCCAACGTGTCCTGGGTCGACCCGGGGGCCTTCTGCCGGCAGGACATGCCCGAAACACCTCCCCGGGGAGGCGTCCAGGAGGCATCCTGACCAGATGCCCAAACCACCTCAACTGGCTCCTTTCGATCCGGAGGAGCAGCGGTTCTACTCCGAGTCCCTCCCGAATGTCCGAGCTCCTCACCCTATCTCTAAGGCTGAGCCCGGCCACCCTACGGAGGAAACTCATTTCGGCCGCTTGTATCCGCGATCTCGTTCTTTCGGTCATTACCCAAAGCTCATGACCATAGGTGAGGATTGGGACGTAGATCGACCGGTAAATCGAGAGCCTGGCTTTCTGGCTCAGCTCCCTCTTCCCCACGACAGATCGGCTCAGCGTCCGCATCACTGCAGATGCCGAACCAATCCGCCTGTCGATCTCCCGATCCCTCCTACCCTCACTCGTGAACAAGACCCCGAGATACTTAAACTCCTCCACTTGAGGTAGGACCTCTCCCCCGACCCGGAGGTGGCAAGCCACCCTTTTCCGGTCGAGAACCATGGTCTCAGATTTGGAGGTGCTGATCCTCATCCCAGCCGCTTCACATTCGGCCGCGAACCTACCCAGCAAGAGCTGAAGGTCAGAGCTGGATGAAGCTAGGAGGACCACATCATCCGCAAAAAGCAGAGACGAGATTCTCCTGCCACCAAACTCGACACACTCCACACCACGGCTGCGTCTAGAAATTCTGTCCATAAAAGTGATGAACAGAACCGGTGACAAAGGGCAGCCCTGGCGGAGTCCAACCCTCACTGGGAACAGGTCCGACTTACTACCGGCTATGCGGACCAAACTCACGCTCCTCTGGTAAAGGGACTGAATGGCCCTTAACAGAAAGCCACCCACCCCATACTCCTGGAGCGTCCCCCACAGGGTGCCCCTGGGGACACGGTCATAAGCCTTCTCCAAATCCACAAAGCACATGTGGATTGGTTGGGCAAACTCCCATGCCCCCTCCATCACCCTTGCAAGGGTATAGAGCTGGTCCACAGTTCCACGGCCAGGACGAAAACCACATTGCTCCTCCTCTATCTGAGATTCAACTATCGATCGGACCCTCCTCTCCAGTACCTTGGCGTAGACCTTTCCAGGGAGGCTGAGGAGTGTGATCCCCCTATAGTTGGAACACACCCTCAGGTCACCCTTCTTAAAGATGGGGACCACCACCCCGGTCTGCCACTCCCTAGGAACTGCCCCCGATGACCACGCAATGTTGCAGAGACGTGTCAACCATGACAGCCCTACAACATCCATAGCCTTGAGATACCCAGGACGAACCTCATCCGCCCCCGGGGCTCCGCCGCTGTGTAGTTGTTTGACTACCTCAGCAACTTCTGCCCCCGAGATCGGACAGTCCATCCCCAGGCCTCCCAGCTCTGGTTCCTCCTCGGAATGCACATTGGTGGGATTGAGGAGCTCCTCAAAGTATTCCTTCCACCGTCCGACTATAGCCTCAGTTGACGTCAGCAGCTCCCCATCCCCACTGTAAACAGTGTGAGCGAGTTGCTGTCTTCCTCTCCTGAGGCGCCGGACAGTTTGCCAGAACCTCTTTGGAGCCGATCGATAGTCTTTCTCCATGGCCTCACCAAACTCTCCCACGCCCGAGATTTTGCCTCGGCAACTGCCACTGCTGCACCCTGCTTGGCTATCCGGTACCTGTCTGCTGCCTCCGGAGACCCACAGACCAGCCACGCCCTGTAGGCCTCCTTCTTCAGCCTGACGGCTCCCCGAACCTCTGGTGTCCACCAGCGGGTACGGGGGTTGCCACCACGACTGGCACCGGCCACCTTACGACCACAGCTAGCAACAGCCGCCTCGACAATCGCAGAGTGGAACAAGGCCCACTCGGACTCAATGTCCTCCACTGCTCTCGGGACGTGGTCAAAGCTCTGCCGGAGGTGGGAGTTGAAGACCGTCTTGACAGGTTCTTCTGCCAGGCGTTCCCAGCAGACCCTCACTATGCGTTTGGGTCTGCCAGGTCTACGCGGCATGTTCCCTTGCCATCTGATCCAACTCACCACCAGGTGGTGATCAGTTGACAGCTCCGCCCCTCTCTTCACTCGGGTGTCCAAAACATACGGCCGCAGGTCAGATGATACGACTACAAAATCTATCATCGACCTGTGACCTAGGCTGCCCTGGTACCAAGTGTACCGGTGGGCATCCTTATGTTCGAACATGGTGTTCGTTATGGCCAAACTGCGGCTTGCACAGAAGTCCAATAACAAAACACCGCTCGAGTTCAGATTAGGTGGGCCGTTCCTCCCAATCACACCCCTCCAGGTCAAGCTGTCATTGCCCACGTGAGCATTGAAGTCCCCCAGCAGGACAATGGAGTCACCTGATGGAGCACTATCTAGCACTCGTCCCAGGGACTCCAAAAAGGGTGGGTACTCTGAACTGATATTTGGCCCATAAGCACAAACAACAGTCAGGACCCGTTCCCCGACCCGAAGGCGCAAGGAAGCTACCCTCTTGTCCCCCGGGGTAAACCCCAACACACAGGCAGAGAGTCTCGGGGCTAACAAAAAGCCAACCCCAGCCCTCCGCCTCTCACCCGGAGCAACTCCAGCAAAGTAGAGTGTCCAACCCCTCTCCAGGTCTCGGGTTCCAGAGCCAATGCAATGTGTCGAGGTGAGTCCGACTATATCTAGCCGGTACCGCTCAACCTCTGCCACAAGCTCCGGCTCCTTCCCCGCCAGCGAGGTGACGTTCCATGTCCCAAAAACTAGTTTTCTTGTCCGGGGATTGGACCGCCAAGGCTCCCGCCTTGGTCTGCCACCCGATTCGCATTGCACCGGACCCTTCATGTTCCTCCTGCGGGTGGTGGGTCCACAGTTGGACGAGCCCATGTATCCGGTTCGGGCTGGGCCCGGCCGGGCCCCATGGGCGAAAGCCCGGCCACCAGGCGCTCGCTCACGGGCCCCAACCCCAGGCCTGGCTCCAGGGTGGGACCCCGGTAACCCTCCGGGCCGGGTACTCCGACTCTTCGTTTTAACTGCCATGAAAGATCCTTCGAACCGTTCTTTGTCTCACCCTTCACCTAAGACCAATTTGTCATGGGAGACCCTACCAGGGGCACTAAGTGCCCCAGACAACATAGCTCCTAGGATCATTAGGGCACTCAAACTCCTCCACCACGATAAGGTGACGGTTCAAGGTTAGTTAGTTAAACGGATATTAACGAGTATGAGACGGCTGACAGACGCTCATTAGTATTAATATTATATTAACTGACCGATACTATTTTAACTATTATCACAGACAGCGCTCAGTACAGATGAGTACACTTCCTTTAATAAGTACAAATGTAATCAGCAGCACGATGAACAGTTTCCAGAATGTTCCCAAGGCTGGTTTATGGAACACGTGTTTAACTCCACAACATGAGACTAAGAGTAATAATACAACTTAGATCACAAAATCCTCAGTTTTACTAAAACGAGTGGAAGTAAAGATGAATCCACCCCACAACAAAAACAACTACGTCTAGTATTTAGTACGACCACCGTGACTTTCAGGGACGGCACCAAGTCTTCTAGTCATGGAATGAACAAGATGGTGACATGTAGCAACATCTATCTTTTCCGTTCTTCAAGAAGAACCTCTTTTAGAGTCTGGATGCTGGATGGAGAGTGACGCTTCAGAATTCCCCGCAGGTGTTGGATTGGGTTCAGACCAGGAGACAGACTTGGTCATTCAGTCACCTTCACCCTGTTCTTCTGCAGAAATGCAGCAGCAGCTTTAGATGTGTGTTCTGGATCATTGTCGTGTTGGAAAAGTGCACGACGACCACGTGCACGGAGTGATGGCAGCAACTTCCTTTTTCAGTACAGAGCAGAATATTGTTGAGTTAGGGTTAGCAGCACTCATGCAGCCCCACATGAAGACACTGCCACCACCATGCTTCACTGTAGCACCATGCATTTCTCTGACATCCTCACCTTTATGACGCCATACAGGTAAGAAACCATTAGTTCTAAAACCAGAGATGTTTGTCTCATCACTCCAGAGTCTATAGAGTCCCAGTAGTCTTCATCTCTTTCAGCATGGGCCCTAGGAAATCCTAGGTGTGCTTTTAGTGCGTGGGCTTTAGGAGAGGCTTCCGTCATGGACAAAGCAGTGTGTACCGTATGGTGTCAAAGGAAACGGTCGCTCCAGTTTGGCTTTCTACTGCTGTAGCTAACCGCAGTGAACGTTCATGGTGATTTTCTCCAACTTTCTCATCAGAAGACGCTCCTGTTGAGATGTTAACTTCCACGGACGTCCTGACATCCCTAAGATGGTTGCACTTCCATCTTTCTTAAATGTTTGGATCACTTTAGCTACAGCATTCTGACTGATATGTGAAGCTTTGCTGATCTTCTTGTAGCCCTCACCTTTTTGCGTAAAGAGGACCCGTTGCTGCCAGCATGAAATGGGAAGGGCTTTTCTTTTATAGTCACCTGTCTAGTGGACACCTCTTAAATGAATCATTGACTCACCTGCCGTTGAATACCTGTTCATGAGAATGTTGTAGTCTTCAGTGTGGCTTTGCTCCTAAGACTAGAGTTGGGGTGTACTCTTAATGCTGAGCACTGTGCACCAATAATGTCTAGCTCATAACTTCTGACACGGATTTAAACCGACATGACATCCCTGTGAAACGTGACACAGTGAGCGTTCTCACCACATACCTATCTTTGACGTATCTTTCTGTGCTCATGTTGTTTACGTTTGAGCAGAAACGTGGATAAACTGCTCACACACACACACACACACACACACACTGAATGTGTTTTACATGTGTGTGTGTTCCTTGGACAACTTTCATCTCTGAAACTATCCATGTGTTTAGGAAGTGTTTGAACGTGTTAAAGTTACGCGGTTGATCAAATGCAAGCACTGTGCACATGCTAAGCTAGGCTAACTTCTAAGCTGTGTGTGTATAAGGTGTGGGATCTTGCATTGCATTTTGGGATGTGGCAGCCATGTTAATGGCCTCAGGAGTGTAAACAAACTGTAGAAACAAACAGGACATGAAGAAGCAGATTTGGGAGAAATAACATGATGAAAATGTGTTAAAATCCTGGAAAGGATGCATTAGCTACTCCACCACACAGCAGAACTCCTCCAGGCTTGTGTTATCTATGGAGATAAAACACTGACGTTGCAGAGTACACCGAGTCAGTGGTAGAGTCGCATTGTTGTTGTCCAATCAGAGGCTAAATATCAAATATCAGGAAGTAAGACTGCTAATCCTGTTGTCTGAAGCTCAGCTCTGATCTGAGTCTCTTCTAGATCCTAAAACAGGGGCACCAGAGCTTTTGTGCCCAGAGTACGACTTACAAGGCACTCATTCCTACAAGAGACCAGTGCGGATGTATTTAAATGAGCGAACCACACCTTTAATGTTTCTGACATTCCTAGTAATTAATAATATTTAAGCTTTGGTGGAAACTCAGCTTATTTTGGTCAGAAAATGTAGTTTTTCCCCGCCACAGATGTTCTAGTAACTCCAGCTGTGTCCCTTGTGTCTCCCTGTAGGACCGGAGGCTCGTCCCCATCAGCCACCCCGAGTTGTTGATTAAAGAAGCATCACGCCAAACCACCGTTTCTGTCCAAGTGGGGGCGCTCTGTGTCCATCTGTCTGTCTCCGTCTGTCCCCACGGGTGTGTTTGAGTGGGGAGGGAAGCTACAGGCGGGGGCCTTGGAGTTCAAAGGTCAAAGTGCCAGCATTTTTGTACGGACATCAGCGTTTAGTTGCAGGTTGTTGACACTCTCATTCATCCACCCTAACCCCCTACATTACGTACCTCACTGGCCAGTGCATTGATACAGTTATGCTTTCAACAGCACAACCAACACACACCGCTGCCGCAAACCCAAAGTATTTACATGAGTGTGTGTTGTTTATGATTGTGAAGGAGGGGTGAGGTAAGGAGAGTCCTCCATGTAACGGGTCAAGATCCAAACGGGCTCAGTCCAAAGATGGAGGGCAGTGACACCACAAACCAGCTCTGCTTCTCTCCCTTTTATTTCTTTTTATTTAATTTAAAGTCATTTTACAGGTAAAGTAGACATTATGTTTGTCTGTAAAAGACCTTTTAGTATAATAAATATTATTATTAAAGGAAGATGGGACGACGGCGATGTTCTTCACTTAAGTAAACCTGCACTTTCAGTTCCAGCTGTCCATTCCCAACACTCCCTTTTCCATCCTGTTTTCCTGCGTTTCTTTCCTGCTCCCACTAGAGGGAATGCACTGTCTGTCCTTACCCATGACCAGCTCAGAGTCCTTTAAGGACTTCCTCCTTACCCCCTCAAGTCAAACCAGAAAGAGCTCTTCATGCAAGAGTTGTGAAGCTGCAGTCTTTCAGTTAATAATATATTGTAAAGGAAATATTTTTGCACAAAATTCCAACATAAATTACAGGAATTTACAACAAATCAATGTTTCTGGATCAGGTTCTAGTAGCTCATCAGCTTTGTTACTTTTGACTCCTTTTATTGGCTCTGTCTGCTCCTCTGTATAGCGCTTTATCCTACAATACATGCAACTCAAAGTGCTTAACAAATTAAAAAGGCCCCGCATACCCACATTCCCTCCCATCCCCAGAATTTTAAAAACAGTCTGACAATAAAAACCCCTTCACAACAATCCTCCTCCGGCGCACACGCGCACACACACACACACACACACACACACACATACATACATACATAGTGGCGGTTCTACGTGGAGTTACTCCCCGGGCGAGGCCCCCTTTGAGCCCACCACCACCACCACCTGCATAAACACACGCATGTTTTCCACAAACAGGCATGTTTTATTAGAACGACTATTGAACATTCATTTTTCTAAGTTGCACATATTTACATTAATTACTATGAAGTTGTCAGAATGTAAAGCAATATACATTATATACTGTATCAAAATATATAGAATCAAATATACAAAAACAACTAAACTAACTAAATATTAAGAATATATGAACATAATATATAATAAATATTCTAAATAGCAAAAATATTTCACACATAAACTAAAGATAATCACTACAGCATTGCACCTAGAACAGAAAAAAAAACTAAAATTAAAACCTAACCTTGATGCAACGTCATCAATAATGTCATCATGTGAAATCTGCTCCCCTACTGAGTGATTGGTACTAATCAGAGCCAGGTTATGGGCCATTCCCATCTGTACCGGGTCGGCCCGGGCCGGGTAGCGTAGGTTGTTTACATATCTGGGTGGCCTGGTATTTTTCCGGGCCAACCAAGTCTCATTCTCAGCCCTCTTCTCGAGGGGGTCTGCTTCAGGCCGACCAGGGCCAACACACCCACTGCTGACAGCAAATTCACACCTTCCATTAGAACAAGCCTCTGATTGGTGGGTAGAATCAGCCCACATGGGCTTAAGACAAGAATGTGTGGAATCAACCGGGCCAGGCTGGGGCCGACTGGGGCTACCCGGCCCGGGCCGACCCGGTACAGATGGGAATGGCCCATTTGTGAGCCGCCCCTGAAACATAGGTGACCTCAGGTATGACTTCATCAAGTTTTGAAAAGCTCCTCTCAGCTTGAGCCGCAGTGACTGGCAGAGCAGTCCAAAAGTTGGGGTAGATCTCCAATAGATCTTTATCATGATCCATAATATTTTAGAATTGCCTCTGAAATTGTCATTTAAACTGACATAAAAACTGTAGACTATCAAAAATGCCAATTTTTACAGAACAAATCATGTAAAAAATAATCAGTGCAGCCATTTGCAATAAATAAACAGGATAGTTAGTGGTGACTGGGCAGTTTTCTTCTGCTTGTAGAGTTGTTTTATTTATTATTATGTGAACATGATCAACATGTGTTTGTTGTTGTTCAGGCAGGCCACAGGCTGCAGCGAGCATTTAACAAATCCTAGTTTGAATCAGTAAAAAACGATTCAAGGAACTTTTTTGAACCATTTGAATATTCGTTTCAATATTTCAGCCCTATTAGCTCTGTTAGCAATTAGTTGACCGAATTTAACCGTTAAAATCCCAGTTAACTGGTTCAAAAAACTGAAAACATGCATCATGAGAGCGTACCTACCTTTATCTTTCTCCTCTTTTTTCTTTTTTTCCTGAATGGGGCACCCGGTGGTTTTAGCCTTTTTATGTTCATCTCTTCTGTTTGGCTCTTGACTCAATAAGTTTCCTTTAGTCAGGACTAAACAATTTGACCTTGATTGGGGGGTACCACAAAATCGTTTTGTTTTTCCTTTTTTTATTTGGCCATTTCACACAATTCAGAAAAACCTGAAAGAATGATAGGCCTGTGTTTATGATATTATGAATGAAATGTGCGTTAAATGGAAGAACATCAAGATTTGATTGACTTTAGCCTTGTTAATACAGTTGATTCAGCCCCTACCCGCTCATTTCATTTGGGAAAGACCCAGAGGTGAATTCCCCCGCCGCACCCCTCCCCTTCCTCCTCTTCATACACACACAGATCACCTGAACCCTCTCAGTCAGCAGGAGCGCCTGCAGCTGCAGGGGGCGCCAACTTGCTGTTTCCAATCCAGCACAGATTTCTTTCATTTTTATTTTTTACTCAGCGCTTGTGCGCCCCTTTTGTGTCATGAAAAAATGCCACCCCGGGCAACTGCCCTGTCTGCCCGTGCCTAAAACCTTTACTGTACATGCATGCCCCCTTCCCCATGGTAAAAAACACGATTGACTGAGATCAGATGAGCCAGACCAGCTAAGATAAGGATAAGGATACACCATCAGGGTCCCATCCGCCCCGGCAGCAGCAGATCCACAGCAGCAGTGTCTGTGGGCGTGTTTGCTCCTCTGTGGGCGTGTCTGTCCCTCTGTGGGTGGAGTCTGAGTATGACATGTGCATTCCCTCTACCACCTCCCACTCAGTGACAGTGCATTGCATTGTGGGTAGTTTTACCATACATTTCCTCCTCTCCTTGTACAGTGATGCCATGTATAGAATGCTTACGACTTGTGTATCTAATCTAGTTTATTTTCCTGTCAGCTCTTGCTTTAGGGAGGATTTTTAATGGTAATGTTTGTTATTTGTTTCTTGGATGTCTTTCTTTGCTTTATGAACCTTGAGATTTTAGCCAAAAGAGGACAGAGAAGAGAGGCGGCGCTCTTTCTGTCGTTAAGACGATTGTTCTTATTATTTTAATATTATATTGAGACACTTGAATAAGAGAAAGTATCATTTCGGTGGATGCTGTGTCATTCTTGTTGATGTTGGCGGGGTCGTCGTCGTGGCGAAACAGGGTCAGGCTTGGGGCTTGGTCTGGGCTGTTCGGGTGCTACAGAGACCTAACACTCAAAGACAACAAAAACAAGGGAATAACTTGTAAGATAGCTGACATATCATTCTTAACATCACAAGCACGGAGACAAACAAACCCACTTCTGCTGTGATCCTCTCCATTGTCCTTGGCTACATCAGCTTCAGAGAACATGGCGCCTCACGGACATGACCCTTCCTTGCAAGCTAACTGTTACTGTGACAACCATGGTTGGAAACTACAGCTATCCCTCTGCATTTGTTTTCAGTTAACCACCTGGTTGTCATGGTTTTTGTTTGACCTTGAGCAGAGGACCCGGTTCCACATGGAAAGGTCTCAGAACGGTGCCGTGAGTCCTTGAGATCTGAGGTGTTGAGATCAGGGCAGGGTGTGCTCTACCTGAACACTTGGGACCACCACTGAGGACTTTCTGTTGTTACGTTTACTTCCAACTACAATCCCCCTTGAGCTCTGAAGCAACCCCGGCCACTGCTCTGCTCCTGTGATTGTACAGGTCAGACTCCACATGCTGAAAACGACGTTTGCCTGGCCCGTGCAGCTTTGCTGTTTTTATTTGTCCAGATACTCAGTGGGGTTGCGATGTGCTCTGGGACAGACCAATGACCAAGGCCTGTTCTGTTGTGGATTCTAACTCTGTCTGTCTGTGGCTCTCGCTCCTCTCTCTTTCAGATCCCACTCCTGGGTTTTCTCATCGTTTACACTCAACCAGGCGGGATGTGGGAGGGACAAGAGGGAGTGATCTGTGAAGGAAACCAATAGCATGAATTTAAGTTTATAACATCCTTTTTATCCTAAAGTTGGATGTGTACAAAGCAGCTATGAGCAGAAACGTTAACTGTCTGATTTAATGTGTGTGTGAGAGGGCTGATGCACACAGGAAGGGACCACTTAAGGGAATTTTAAGAACTGCACGATGTTCTAAAGCAGCTGCTTCACATTCTGTCTGATCAGACATGTTGTTTCTCTGCTTTATTTTGGTCTTTTCTGCCCTCACCCACCCCGGCAAGTCAGCTCTGCTTTAACCTTAATGCGTTTCTTAAGTTTATTTTTATCAGTTCATTTTTAATTCATTTTTTTCTGTTGTTTTCATGTTATTTTTTGTTGGGTACAAAATACTAAAAAGTGCAGCAACAATGATTACAAAAGAATATCAACCAAACAGATGAATAAATAAATATATATAAATAAATAATTTAAAATGTTAACTTGTGTCTGTTTTTAATCTTTGTAACGCAGATGTTTCTCAAAAAGGACAGCATCAGTATGGCAAATAAGTAAAAGTGTAAAATTATAACAGCAATAATTGAATGGTACTTGCAGTACCTGGGCCTTCCATCAGAGGGCAGAGTGCACTAATCCTGGTAAAGAGGTAGCAGTTTTAAAAATGTATCAGATATAACATTATTAAAAGAGCCTCTAATATAGGCAGAAAACATTTTCAACCACAGCTTCACCGTCCTAAAACATTACGCTATATTAAAAAGACACTGGTGGAGCACTAGGACCAAGAGGAAAACAACTGCTTGTGTTGAAGCCGGTTTCCTGTTAGAACTGTCCATAAGCTCATCTATTGGCTCAGCTGATGCTTACTAATGCGTGAGTGGCTGTTCCTGCCACCTGTGTACTTGAATGACTATTTGGGTGAATGGTGTGAAATTATGGAATTGCCTGGACAGAGAAGTGAAAGAGTCGAGAGCTCTAAAAGTCTTTAGAGAATATATCAGATCAAGTGTGTTGGGTGGATATGAATGTGAATAAAGTCTGTGGCTAGAATTAAAATATGGACAAGGAACATGACGGAATGCATAAAGACAGTTTTGTTATTTTTGTTTAAAAAAGGGGGCAGAAAGGATAAGATTTCCATTTGCTCCCTTTCATTCAAGTTGTATTGTGTTTATATGCATATTGTTTGTTTATTTGTTGTGGGTTTTTTTATTGATTGAAATAAATATGAGGGGAGGGTGACCTTCCTGCACCAGGCTCATGCCTAACCTCAGGCCCGTGGGAGTGTGGGGGTGTCTGGGTCATTTAACTGGTCTTCCGCCATTGCAGCAAAATCAATACCCACAGAACCTGGGGAGTCCAACGCACACCATGTTGAACTTTTCAGCCACATGCCGGATGTCTGTGGTGAACTCTGAAACTGCAGCGAGGTGTCTCTGCTGGCGACTGGACCAGGGTTCAGAGGACTAGGACATAGCAGTGAAATGGGGGCCTTCCAGGAAATGGCATGTGGCCAGGTAGAGGCTTAACTCCCTGTCAAATGTGCTGTACTCTCGCTTGTTATCCCATAACGAGCGACTGAAAAGGGTGAGAGGTTGCCACATTCCAGCACAGCACCCACAGCTACATCTGATGAATCCATAGTCAAAGCTAATGGGGCAGAAGGGAAAAGGTGGGCTAACATCGCAGCATCTGCTAATGCAGCTTAAACATTGCAGAAGACCGGCATGAGGTCTGGGGTCCAATCTACCACATCTCTTGCTTTGCTTAGTCTGAGAGCACCGTAAAGCAGCTGCAACAGCTGTGCTGCTCTGGGGAGAAAGCGGTTGTAAAGGTTACCCATCCCCAGAAATTCTTGCAAAGATTTCACTGTTTCCAGCTGTGGGAATTCTGCAACAGCTTGCACTTTAGCAGGCACCACTGGTGGAAAGGCTGTGACCCAGAAAGTCAATCTGTGCCAGCCCGAATTGGCACTTAGCTGGGTTGGTAATCAGACCATGTTCAGCCAAATATTGGAAAACTTGGTGCAGGCGACTGACATGCTGTTTGGCAGAGTGGCTGGCAACCAAGATGTCATCCAAATAGATAAAAACAAAGTACAATTCTCGCAAAATGCTAATGTTTGTGTGGCACCTTTAAGGTCAAAGGACATGCGTAAAAACTCAAAAAGGCCAAAGGAGGTGATGACAGCGGTTTTAGGAATGTCCTCTGGGAATACCGGGACCTGATAACCACGCACCAAGTGTACTTTTGATAAGAGGGTTAGGGTTGGGGTTCCAGCGAGGTGTACTGAAAGGTCCTGAATGTGGGGGATTGGGTACCAGTCACTCTCAGTGGCACCATTAAGGTGGCAGAAATCCCCAGAAAGTTACCACTGTCCATGGGCTTTCTCCATGTTGGCAAACTCAGTACGTGCGATGGCCAGCTTAGCTGTGTCAAGGTGGCGTGGGCGTGCAAAGATGGGTGGGCCAGTAGTGGGGATGAAATGTTCAATGCCGTGTTCAGCAACAGAGCTAGAAAAGGTGGGGACTGAGGAACTCAGATAACACACGCTGGAAGGCATCTCCTGTGGAGTGGAAATTAGCATGCATTTGGGGTCCGGTCCTTTTTGTCATACATGGCATGGATGCAAAAGACACAGCAAGACCTTAGCCTGTTGGCTAAGTCAACTAGAAGTCAATGTGCACAAAGAAAATCAGCACCCACAATAGGAACTGAACTTGTGGCCACAATTTAAATTCCAATCAAAGTCACGTTCATGAAAGCATACTGTCACCAACCTTTCACCAAATGTTTTGATGGCGGATCCATTAGCTGCAGTCAACATTGGTCCAAAGCCTTCAGCTAGTCTGTCAGCGGTGACTGAGGAAATAAGGCTTATCTGGGAGATGGAATTCACCAAGAATTGTCTTCCTGACTGAATCCTCAATTAATAGCAGCTTTTCTCTGTCGCCAATGGTCTGCTACTGGGCACTGGCAGGTCCGTTTCCCTGCTCTCTGAACTCGCTGGTAGGAAGCGCTTGGGCGGTGCCATCTCCGATTCCGGCGAGAGAGAGCAGCTTCTCTGCTCGTTCCACGTCAGAGAGGGTGTAGCAGTAAACCAGCAGTTTTTTGAGGGCATTTTGAGCCCTTTCAAGGACTCAGCCAGTTTCGGAACCACTGGAGGAGATAATGCAAAGAAGGATTCTCCAGAGAGTCAAGAAAATTATGGACAACCCTGAGCATTCTCTTCACAAGATTGTCTGACAACGGAAGAGTGTCTTCAGTCAGAGGCTTCTTCAGTTTCGCTGCAACATTGACCGCTACTGGAGATCCTTCCTGCCAACAGCCATTGTAATATACAACAACTCTTTGATGACTTGATTATTATTATTATTCTGAGCTACTACAGCAATCAATTTCCCTCTGGGATTAATAAAGTATTTTTGAATTGAACTGAATTAAACTTCTCCCGGGCTGGAGGGTTCCGGAGAAGGCACATCACCCATCGGGTGGAAAGTGGATCTAGTGCAGCGACCACATGGTGGTATTTCATGTCTTCAGAAGAAATGCAGCGCAGTGCGAACTGGGCTTCGATGTGAAAAAAACATTATGCAGCGCAGTGCGAACTGGGCTTCGATGTGAAAAAAACATTCTAAAGGGTTGTGGAGCCAAACATCTGGATGCTCAATAGCCTCGGCAGATGAGAACAGTGGGGCCAGCTATGGTACAGCAGCTGTTAGCTGTGCTGAAGCTTGTTTGGGCCGCTTTGTCGGTCGACATGTTCGTTTACGGGGTCACCAATGTGGAGGAGTACAGGACGACACAAAGGTAGGTTTCATTCACATCTTTAGTATCTCAACACTGAGTCCTTCTCTGTTGGTCATTAAAAACTGTTTGAACTCATTTACATTCAGGCCTGCTTGTTTCAGGAGACAGCCAGGCATCAACCATCTTTACACTTAAAGCCCCCTTCAGACAGGCCATGAAAAACGGAAATGTTCCGGACTCTGTCCGTAAGACCTTTGTGTCTGAATACAAACATCCGGATAACGTTTTCCGTAATTTCACCGGACGACGCCCCTAGTAACAGGTCTGGACTTGTTACGGACAAGGTGGCTGCTTCAGACTGGTGAGGTCGAGTTCCGGACAGGGAGGAGGGGGAGGAGGAGGGGACCGGGGGACGCTGTGTGCCCCTAGATAGCCCGCTGCTGTAGCATGCGGCAAACCATGGCAGCTCGCCTCCTATGGTACGTCTAGACGCGCAACGGAGCGCTTCACACCGCTTCAGTGATTCCTTTAACCATTGAGCTTCATCTTCTAGGTCTCTTATGCATCTTCGTGTGCGCAGAATTATGCTTAGCATAAGTCTGATCCCCCCCCCCCCTCCCTCCCTCAGACATCTGGAACTTTTCCCTGCTGTGTGAAGGCAGCCGAAAGGACAAGTTCCGGTACAAAAGTGGTGTGCCTGAAAACACAGTTCCGGTTAAAAACCGGATTGAATTGTCCACACATATTCCAGAATGTCTATTTGAAAAGGGCTTAACTTTAACAAGAAGCATCCTACCTGGCGCAGGAAGCCCCCAGGCGTCGACAATATTTACAAACAGTCAAGAGACCTGGGTGTGAGTGTAGCCTCTTTGTGGCCCCCCACACTATATATTAGATTATTCTCATATCATTAGTTGTTGTAGTATTTACAATAATGTCTTTGAGACATCATAAAAAAGTAGCACAATGATGCCAAACTGCATCACCTAGTGGTTGAAAGCTAAGACATAAAAACACCTCAGTGGTCTGACTGTCATAAGTTCAGCTCATCTCAGAAGCAGCACAGCATCAGACAACCTTATTGGTGACTTTCCATCCAGACTAAGAAGATGTGTGCATCTGCAGAAGGCTTCTGCCATTGTCTAGGTTGTTCATTTAATCTGTGCCCATTAAGGTGTAAACCTAAATGACACTAATGATAGTCATTTAGCAATGGGGAGATTATTGACATATTTATAAAGAAGATTAACCCCTTGAGATGAAACATCTCAATTTCAAGGTGGTCCTCCATTATTTCAGATAAAAAAATGAACAACTAAAGTAGATCGGAGATCACAGACACAAGCAGCATTACAACCGCAATATATATAGACAATGACTACAACACACACCCACACTCAATGGCTCACAATGCACAAACCCACCCCCCAGGCATAAACCCCACTACAGGCATGAAGTATAGACAACCACAGGTCTGAACTAATGAACAAACATGACTGAAAAACAAAAATAAAATATTTGCATGACCAGTGTGAGCAAGAATCAAGCAAACTTAATTAGTAACATAGACAAAGGTTCTGAAAATGATCACTCAAGGCTCTGCCATTGACATATAAATATTGGACAGTGGGTTTCCATAGACTCCAATAACACGTTTTTGAATAGAAATGGGAGATGGCCACCACCGCCATTTTGACCGTGTCACAGCTGGTTCCGTCAAGCCCAGACAATT